TAACTCCACAGGAGACAAAGATCTCACAAACTCAGACCTCGTGGGAAAAAGGGTCATCCAAGCAGAAACTAAATAAGTCTAAGCTTAATTAAGTGTTAAGATAACAACTCAGACGCGATAACGTGATCGAATCTGACAATCAGAGTGAGTGTTGCAGTGAAACGTAGTTTTCTAGTTGCTTAATCACTACTGTTGTCGATGTTGAGACATCGTTTATTTGGTTTTTGGTATTGTTTCTGTACACCCCCCAGCAAGAATGAATTTTGTGTTTACTTTAGTTGGAGACTAAGAGGACTTTAACTGCCAACATTCAGTTCATTTGTTAAACTTCAAATCTTTGAGGAGTCAATGTAGATTAATACTACCTTAAGTACGATAACCTACATTTTTGTCTCACGACGCTCAAGCTGAACCTACTCGAACAATCCTATTCTGGGGGTGGGCTAGCTAATCCTTCAGTTGAGTCTCGCCATAGACTCCAAAAAACATTTAGCGGGAAACCAAAAACCCAAACCTCAAGTCGTTCGTCTAAAGGGACAACAGACAATTGAACCAAACTATATTTTGCCATGTAAATCTAACTTAAACCAAGTTAGGAATGGAAAAATAGTTTGGAATGCCCTTCTATAGGTATAAATCCCTATATATAATTTTTCAGCATGACCCACCCTTTAATTGGTACCTGTAGCTGATCTAAACCATGATAGCTTACACACCAGGTACATATAGGTTAAGGTCTTATGTAAAATCCCACTCATAAGCCCAACTAAAACCACATAAATGCATAACACATTGAACCAGAATGGCATCCACTAGGAACCACCAGCAGCAACCTTCGCTGAAGGGACCTACAACTCCAACGTGGGTCTCCAAACTCCATCCAGTGGTCGCCTCTGCAGTTCAATCAAGGGAACCCCTCTGCATGCTGATCAATCAACACCTCCAATCGTTGTGGATTTATCGTTGTGGATTATTTGACTTTTTCCAATGGATTACAGACTTTGTTTCCAAGGGGTTAAAGCGTTACTGCAATGGAATTACCAACAACATTGTGGAATTACCTAAACCGTTGTGGGATTACCTTCTTTGACTTTTGTTTTCCTCTTGCTGCATTACATCAAGATCAAGGACATTCGGAGGCGTAAGTTCATGTTGGAATTCATCCCCATGGACAGGCAATGATTTCCAAAGGGGAACAGTAGTGAACTAGGCCTCCGACAACAATTTGTCTCTGAAGACCTTCAGGGGACAGGAACTGTTATTTCATTGATTTGAATCCAGAACACAAATGATCTCATCAAGAGACTATTTAATTGTATCCTGAATTAATCAATTGAAAGAACACTCTCTTTTTTATATTATCATTACTATTTTACAATATCTTGATAATCAAAAGTGTGTTTAGTTCATACCATTTTTAAATGTTGAAGTGAACCACTCATTTTAAATCAACTGTGAAACAGTATTAATGACTTTTAAACCTCATCAGATTGATCATACAGTTAAATGCCTATTTACGAAATAAGTGTGCATTTAGCCTTCTGTCTGAATGAGGAGTAGTAGTGGATGTCGGTCGAAAGTCAGAGACGTGTTATTAGAACGAAGCGTCTTGTTTTTAAAACTCGCAGACACTAAATAACTTCAACTGGCACCTGCGTTGTCTCACCTCGTCATAAAATTTCTTTGTTTGTACTAACCGTTTTTTTAAACATTCCTGCTGTCTCTTGACTTCTAGTGACCCTCTGACATCACTAGAACCACCCCCCTGCTGGTTGTTTCAACCAATCAGGAAGTACCACGTAACAGGAAGTGTATACTCCTTTAAAAGGAACACTTCGTGGAACTATTCAGTCAGTCCTGGAGTTCAGTCCTAGAACTCAGTCGGAGTCTTAGTCTTAGTCTTCACGAGTCTTAGTCTCTTCTAAGTCTTTCTGGAACTTTCGGTCAGAGATGAGACTCACTTAAGCAGCAGATGGATGGGACCATGTGAAGGGATCCCTCCATTTCAGCGGAGTCGCAGCTCGCATCGCTGCGCACTCAACCCGAGCAGTAAATGCTCCACTTCTAAGGAAGCTTATTCGGTGGAACCAAGTACTTCGACATTTATTCTGTTGATCGGAGCATATGGAACTACTTCCAAAGATTCTCAGCCACCCTGACCGGAGACGCTGAAAAGGGAGCGTGAGATGGACCTCTGTACCGGAGTTGATTTATCTTCTGCAAAGGTAACAAGTCGTTGCACGCCCTGAGTGTACCGCGGGCTGAGCTGGTGTCGAAAGAAGGGTGCCATTCCGGGTCAACACATCTATTATCATCCATCTAAACCTCCTCTTTAAATTTTTAAACTTCTATTTCTCCTCTTTAACTTTTCTATTCGCCAGTAATCAAGCTCGATGCCTTCAGAGGTGAATCGGCCTCAATCAGTAATTTTCTGTTGTCTTGTTAGTAAAGCTTGCCAAGTTTATTAATCAGAAACAGATCAGCAAATCAATGTGTACATGTCTTGATGTTAAATTTTGATTCTGTTAAATAAATGACCGCATTTATTCTGATGGGTCAAAGATAAAATGGCATCTCATGTCACTGACTTAAACACTCCACTCACAGTTATCTTGGTCACATGGCAGAAATTTAACTCGAAAAAGAGAAGAATCCATCATAATTAAACAATTAATATTCTTTGTGCTTGAACTAGCTTTAAGGATAATTAATTAGTTGTGTTTTCACAGCAAAGCTGTCCTGACATACCACATCACTCATGGCTCTGTTCTCTGTGCACTGAAACCATGAAAGTCCTCTTCTTCAGTGTCAGAACTGAAGAGGCTCAAAAAGATGTTGTCACACACTGGCTCCTTGTCGCTCTCGACGTCACTGTCTCTCGTGCTGTCTGCATCATCCTGCAGCAGTCCAGCCAAACTCTGTGCTGTGAGCAGATTAACAGATAAATCTGTTCTTCAAAAAAGCTTCTTTCAGCTAAGGCAGATAGCTAAGCTCAAGTCCGTTCTGTCCAGATCTGACCTTGAAAAACTAGTCCATGCATTTATTACAACCCGGCTGGACTACTGTAACTCACTTTATGTTGGGGTCAGTCAGGTCTCTCTCTCACGTCTCCAGCTTGTCCAAAATGCTGCAGTTCGGCTACTAACAGGAACTCACAGGTTTGAGCACATTACTCCAGTTCTGTCCTCCCTTCACTGGCTTCCTGTGTTTGTCAGAGTTGATTTTAAGATTCTTCTGCTGACATTCAAGTGTGTTAATGGCCTTGCACCATCATACCTCTCCGACCTTCTTCATTCTTATACTCCTTCTCGGGCCTTGAGATCATCAGACCAGCTGCTTTTGGCCGTACCTAAAACCAGGCTGAAGCTCAGAGGAGATCGAGCGTGCTAATTTTTTGGGACAGGCATTTTGGGTTTTCATGAGCTGTATGCCATAATCATCAGTATTAAAACAATTAAAGACCTGAAATATTTCAGTTGGTGTGCAATGAATCTGAAATATATGAAAGTTTCATTTTTATCATTACATTATGGAAAATAATGACCTTTATCACAATATGCTAATTTTTTTAGAAGGACCTGTATGTATATATTTGTGTATATATTTATGTGTATATATGTATATATGTATGTGTATATATGTATATATGTATGTATATGTGTATTGTATATATGTGTATATATGTGTATATGTGTATATATATGTGTGTGTGTGTATATTATATATATGTGTGTGTATATATGTATATATATGTATATATATTAGGAATGCGCGAATATATACAGTATACGGTAGAACGATAGAAATTTAGCCTACGATAGAGATCTGTCTTCTACCGGCTAACCGCAGTAATGCTGTGTCTAATGTAAAATCAGAGTTGTCAGATTTAATCGTTACTTTTTTTAGTTGAAAACTGTGCGCAAGTGGCGTTAAAGTCTTTTCTTCGAGAGCTAAGTAGCAAAGCTACAAGCTAACTACGCCCGGCTTGCCGTAGTGTTGCCGTATTCTGACTCATGTGCATAACACCGTGTTCCGTCGAAAGTTGTTTTTTTTTCTGTCGAAAGTTAAAGTAAGCGTTGGTCATCTTTAGAGAAACCTGCTCTCTGATCTGTGAAAAGAACGATGTGTTGTGTGATTTTACTGCGAGACCCTCTGGCCAAAGCCACAGACTCAATTTGTGTCAGCTCTCCTTAAAGTGGAAGGAGGCGCCCACTAGAGGGTTGGAGGGTGAAGTGTTTCAGTGTAAAATGCTGCTCTGTTGCTGTTCATTTCTTAAGTAAGACTGGAAACTGTTAACAACATATTATTTTGTTTAAAACACATGGCTAAAACTACATTTGATATATTTTGCACTATTTTGCACAAGAAAGAAGCCTAATACTTGATTTGTTTAATATTTAAAAACTCTTTGGACCTAGTAGTGGAATTTTCTTAATTCAAAATTTATGATGGCAAAAGGACATCCTATGCTTTTTTATTCCTATTGCAAGTTTTATACCAAAAACATATCGCGATATATACCGTTATCGCCACCCTTCACAGTACATATCGTGATGAATTTTATGCCATATCGCACGTTCCTAGCCTCAGACTTATGAGGTCTTTTCGATGAAAGATTAAATATTTTTTCCAAAGAGAAACGGTCCAGATGACATGATTTAACCTTTTTTTGTTGCAAATCAAAAAACGCAATGACATTTGAACAAAACAAAAATACACGGGTACATCTGCTTTTCATAGTGAAGAACAATAACATTCAACGTCTGCAACTTAAAAATAAACAAAAATCGCTTTTCTATCTTACTTGCATTTATTTCTCATTGTGTGATAACTTCTCATTTTATCAGTGTCACAGTGTGCCCCTTCCAGATTGGTTCATCAAGCTTTGTACCACAGGCCTGATTGCTCTGAATCTGGTGTTACTGTTTCATGCATTGTTGTCAAACCCAGCCTGACCATTCTGTTCTTTTTTGCACGTTTCATTCACTGTGAACATGCAGGTTGTGGTCCGGAAGAGGAAAGAGATGATGCTGCAGGAGATGAAAATGCCAACCAGTCCAAGAAAAAGAGGCCTCCTAAAAGAACAGTTGAGCAGAACCCGAGTAACATTAATAGTGCAGAATCTGAGAGAAAATGTGAGGTAAGGTTTGATCTCGGCCTCAACTCAAACATTTACTACATCAGTCTAAATGCAACTGTTCCTTATGTTCCTTTTGTGGGAGTGGTGGCGCAGAGGTTAGAGAGGTGGGCTTGTGATCCGAAGATTGCCGGTTCATGCCCCAGCCCCGGCAACATCAAAAATTGTGGGTGGGGTAGGTGAAACACCCACACTTGCCCCCACCCTCATTCGCCCCACTCTGGGCCCATGAGCAAGGTCCTTAACCCCACCATGTGCTCCCTAAACAGGTCTCTCTTGAAAATGAGTTCTCGTGGCTCAATGAGACTAACCTGGATAAATAAAGGCTAAATGAAAAAAAAAAATAATACATCCTGATGCATGCTCAATAATCCAGGTAGTAAAATCTACACACCTTTGCTGTAATTTCGAGCAAACAAATAATTGTTTTGTTGCTTTTCTTGGTAGTTTTTGGAGAAACGAGCATCTCTCTTCCTCTGCTTGTTCACGAAGCACCGAGGCAACTGAACTATTTTAGAAATACAGCTGATTTGACCATTAAAGCACATTTATTCAGCAAACGTTAGACTGAGACACACCTTTGCTGTAATTTCGAGCAAATAAACACTTGTTTTGAAGTGTTAGGGGCCGTTTACACGGCACATATTTTGAGTTAAACCGCTCTTTTTTTCTCTGCGGTTCTGCTGTTCACTTACACAACACTAGTAGCCCCCCTCTTTGAATCCGGAGGTTTCTCAACCCACCTCTCAGAGTGGAGGTTTTTGACTGACCGCACGCTGAAAACGTAAACATCTCCCACTGAGGCTTTTGTTAAACCACATACGCACGCGAAGACCAACGGCATATTTCTATCAACAACAATGGCGGCAGATTATAACACACTGCTTTCTGTACTACGAGTGATGGAATATATTTTGAGTCTCATATTTAATTAATCTATGCTGGAAAGTAGATACTGTGACCGACATCTGTGTTGGTTAGAGACAGTCGGGTCCAGTTCTAACATCGACATTTATTGAACGAGGCAGGCGTCACACGTCGCGCTGCATTATAACATACTAAATGTACTAAATAATAACAGTTGAACGATAATAGACAGTATTTATGTTAGTGTGAGATATATAATGAAGTTATCTGAGCAAAATGAAGCTATCTGGACTAAAGTTATGCGATTTAAACAATGCGAAACAGGTTGCATGTTATTAAAGTTGAAAATGAAGACATCAGGTTTCATTTTTATTTATTTATTCAACACCACAAACTATATGTCACACAAACACTGATAATTAAACTGAGCACACTGTTAAAAACACTAACTGTAAACTGCATTAATGAACTAGACCAGGGGTGGTTAAACTTTTAGACTCGCGGGCCACACTGAGTTCTAAAATTGGAGTGAAGGGCCGGGAACAGATGGATGGAGTGTTTGTGTGATGTTACACCCCAGCTCAATAACAGCTGCCAGGACACAATTAATTATGTTTGATTCCACCTTCTGCACCACTCAAGCAGCCACTAAGTCAGATTATATGATAGAACAGTGATTTTATTTACAATAGTGACATGATTGACTTTGTGGAGTCTTACCAACTTCAGGCCCAAACAACAAACAAAACAAACCACTGTATTTTCTCTTACCTGAAGAAAAATCACATGAACCAAACCATTGCATTATATTTTGCACTACTGTTATGATCAACTCGTCCTGTCTATTCTGGTAATTCTGGTATTGTCATTTCCACTTAATCACCTCATCAGTACATAACTGTGACTCTATATAGAACCGGTATGCACACCTTCACTTTACTAAGTTTCTCAGGTTTATACTTTATATTGCACTATTGTTTACTCTGGCCTTGCACATCCATTATCTACCTCTCATCACGTTATTGTCTTCAGTCAGCGTCCCTTTGTCTCCTGTTAGTCACTATTGAGCACGTTGCATCAGAGGTCCTGCTGCTGTTCACTTTTATATTTTTTATATAACTAGTTGTGTTAGTTTATTTTTGCTAATGTTGTTGTTTGCTGCAACTTGAGTAGGAGTGTAACGCAATTTCAATTTCTATGTATGTCCTGTACATATGCAGAATTGACAATAAAATCAATCAATCAAGTGTCTTACCTCACTATGCTCATGGAATACAGGAGAAAAGTCTAAATAAAGTGTCGGCTCACCTCCACAAACTCCTCACTAAACTTTTTACAACTACAGGATCTAAAGTTGATGACAGGTCAGCTGGTTGGGAATGGAAGCAGACGTCCTCCTCCTGCAGCTCCTCTGTGCAGCATCACAATAGAGTACCTGCACAATAATTCACACGTTTTTGTCTTTCACTTTTTTTAATAATTCACACACAATTAACAGTTTCCCACACAAAGTATGACTTACAGTGGTTCCTGATGGATGAAAAGTAACATCCTGGTCGAGGTTTTCCTTTCACTTTATCCTGGATTCTTGTCAGCAGCCCGATATGTTTTCCACTTAAATCTGGTGATCTGTCCGTTGTGACAACTTTACTCCACAGAAGCTTCATTCTCTAATGACAGCAGACGGTTATAAAAATCCTCTCTGTGTTTTTCCTTTCAGAGACTCCAGGGTCAAAAACACCTCCATTATCTCAAAACTGTTGTTAATCCTGCAGATTTAAAAAAAAAAATAGTAGATGAGCAGTGTCCTTTATTACTTTCATCCATTAAACCGTAACTTAAAGGACTCTCTGTTTTTTAGTTTTTTTTGCTAAATCTTCATCAATCAGTTCCACAAGGCGAGTCACAGTGCTGCGTGATAAACTGATGTTTTTCTAACTTAACTTGGCCCTCCGGACACAACAGACCTTCTCTGTTTTTACCATGTTTCTTTTAAAAAATCACCATCGCAGAAAGGCTTGCTAGCATAGTTAGCAGTTAGCAAAGTGTACTCTTTGAAAACCGCAACAGTTTCTTGGCATAAAAACTGCCTTTGACTGGACCTCAGTGAAACAACATGTTGTTGTCCACAATGAAACATGTTGTTGTTCACCCCATTTTAAACACTCGACACTCACTGTACACTTTTCTTTGAAAAACTCGTTTTTACAGACGAGATCATAGGGCAAAGTAAAAATAAAAGCATAGAAGAAGAAATTACTTCTTCTCCACTTGCCTGTAATACACGTCAATGTCTGTAGTGTGCCTCTACTGGAGAAATGCTGGAACTACAGGTAAAACAACACCAGTTTTTTTTCTATTAAATTCAGTTTTTTAAATATAATTTGAACCAGTGGAGATTTTAACCTCTTTTTGGGGGGTGCTTAAGCACCCCTAAATTTTACCTCAGCACCCCTGAAAAATAAAGTAGCTATTAAAAATAATAATAATAAAAATAATAATAAATATATATATATTATTTTAATTTTTTTATTATTGTCCAAATTTTGGACAATTTCGGCGGGCCAATTTAAAAGCCCAATGGGCCATATACGGCCCGCGGGCCTGGGTTTACCCATGCCTGAACAACCTGAACCTCCACAAGCTGTAAGATCTTTAGCTCCTCACATCTAAGTGCTGCAGCCACCATGTCTGAGAATGTGCTGATTGACCCCTGGTTACGTTTTTGCTTCATTATGTACAGTAGTTCCTCGTTTATCGCCAGGAATCCATACCCTGAAGACCCGCAATAAGTGAAAAACTGCCAAGTAGGAATAGTAGTGCAAGTAGTAAATAGTAGTTTATTTTACTCCATCTATCTATCTATCTATCTATCTATCTATCTATCTATCTATCTATC